CAGTGCAGTGATGGATGGAGTGAATGTATGACATGCGGGGATGGAGAAGTCACAGTGCAGTGATGGATGGAGAGGTCACAGTGCAGTGATGGATGGAGTGAATGTATGACATGCGGGGATGGAGAAGTCACAGTGCAGTGATGGATGGAGAGGTCACAGTGCAGTGATGGATGGAGTGAATGTATGACATGCGGGGATGGAGAGGTCACAGTGCAGTGATGGATGGAGTGAATGTATGTATGACATTCACAAGCAGATTGAACGCACCTCAGGGTGGGGTGGGGTGGGGGACAATACAGCGGTCGAGTTAGCCTAGAGAACTTTATTTCTGATCGCCGACACCTAGCTGTCAACATCGCTAGCGCTAGAGAAAGAAACATTATTCAATTGTTGATCAAGTAAGACCTACAGATCATGTTGAACCAAATCATCATTAGGGGAGATTACAAAAAGAAACGAACAGAAAACCAGACTCATAGATTCGGCCTACGGTACTATTTCCCTTGAATGTATTACTGGATCCCTTTTAACGAGAATCCTGCTATAACGGATGTTTTGCACCGGCCCCCTCCCTCTCGTTATAACAGGATTCCTCTGTATTATTACGATGATGATTATTATTATTATGATACATTACGATACCGTTATTAGATCTATTATCATTATTATGATACATTACGATACCGTTATTGTTATCATTTTCGTTGTTGTTGCTGTTGCTGCTGCTGCTCCTGCTGTTGTTATTGTTGTGATGGCAGTTGTTGCTATTGTTGTTGTTGCAGTTGTTGTTATTGTTGTTGTTGTTGTTGTTGTTGTTGTTGTTGTCGTTGTTGTTGTCGTTGTTGTTGTCGTTGTCGTTTTTGTTTATGATGTTGTTGTTATAGTATAGTTGTTGTTGTTGCTGTTGTTATAGTTGTTGTTGCTGTTGTTGTTGTTGTTGCTATTGCTGTTGTTGTGTGAGACAAACCTCGACCAGATTCTCCACGAGGGCCGACTCGTCCGAGGGAAAGTTGACAAAGTCCTTGACCTTGATGCCCGGCACGAACTTTGACCTGTCGTACTTGGCCTCACAGCTGTCGCGGGCGACACAGGGTTTGATGGGCCACTCCCCGCCACACCACTGGGAGCTGTGGGGAGACAACAGGGGTCATAGGTCATAGGTCACACACACAGGTCATAGGTCACAACACACAGGTCATAGGTCACACACAGGTCATAGGTCACGGGTCATAGGTTGCACACACACATAGGTCGCACACACACAGGTCATAGGTCACACACACAGGTCATAGGTCACACACACAGGTCACAGGGCTGGATGGGCCACACCACTGGGCGCTGTGGGGAGACAACAGGGGTCATAGGTCAAAGGTCACATGTCACACAAGGCTTGAAGGGCCAGCCCCCCCCCCACACACACACACACCACAGGGGGCTGGGGGGGTCATAGGTCACACACAGGTCATGGGTCACAGGTCACATGTCAAACACACACACACACACACTCACAAGGAACACACCCACCATTGCCCACACACACACACTCACCTGTACCCTTGTGGCTCACAAGGAGCACACCCACCATTGCCCACACACACACACACACTCACCTGTACCCTTGTGGCTCACAAGGAGCACACCCACCATTGCACACACACACACACACACACACACACACACACACAC